TTGGCTTTGAAAGCTCTTTAGAAATCCTTTCAAACAACTGGTGCTGGATATTAAAGAAGAAACTTCATTAGAAGACACTGCTTCATAAATATGAATTTAATGGTACTATCTTGTAGACAATTCATACTGAAAAGTATTAGGGATGGCAATGGGTAGGGTATGGGTAGGGTACTACAGTACCCATCCCCATACCCGCGTTTTAAAAAAATACCCGTACCCGGCCCCATACCCGCGTGGGTATGAATATTAATTCCCGTACCCGTACCCTCTGGGTACCCGCATACCCGTTTTGTACCCATTACCCGCGCTTGTTTGAGAAAAAAAATATTTATAAAGAAAAATATGTTTATATAACTTCACATAAGTAGCATAATAATACAAAAATTTAATATGTAGTTGCCGAACAAGGTACAAACATAGATAAAAAACAAATAGATCATAAATGTTAAATGTATCTTAATATAATAATATTCTAAACTAAAATTCTTAGAAACAATAAGCAAAACTAAACACACAAGTTATTTGTCAGTGATAATCCTATCTTGTGTGAGGTTTGATTGATTGGTAATGTCAGAGCGACAACGAAATAGATCTGTACAATGATTGTCCTTTCGTGTGGGATCACTTAGTAACTTCTTATGACAGTATTGACAACTAACTCTAATGAATAACATTTCATAGTTATTAAGTTTTAATGAGACAGACATTGAGAATGAGAATAGAGTTAGAGTAGAGAAATTCAATACTAACAATAGAAAGTTAATACATAAAATATTTTTTTTTAACTTTTGAATTTAAAATTGTAAGAACAATAATAGATTTAATTAAAATAATATAATATAATTAATATATATATATATATATTAATACTAGTATTTTTTAACTCATATACTATACGAAAGTATTTTATCAAAAATATAAATTTTTGAAAAATTATTTTAGTGAATTAAATATTTATAATGTATATAAATTTAAAAAAAAGAATTTGAATAAAAGATAAATAGTTACAATAAAAATTTATAATAAAGAAATATATGTGTATATTAAAAAAATTATACTTTTTTATCTTAAATAAAAATTAACAATAATTTTTTATATTTATATCTTTTCAAAAACTTCTTTGAATGTGAATAAATAGTAAGAATAATATTATTTAGATTCAATAGATTATAGTTGTGCTTGTAATACATATGTTGCATAGAAAAATATTATTTTAAATTAAAATATAAAAATAAAATTTAAATATTATTAATAAATAATAAGTTTACGGTAATAGTAGGTGATTATAAAATTTATAAAATATTTATAATATATTTATAATTTATCATTCACTTTATGATTTAAACATCAATATGATTTTATTAACAAAAATATTTGTGTAAAAAATATTTTATGTGTGTCATATATAAATAATATTTTAAAAAAAGTCAATCTCATATTAACTATGTAATAATTAAATTATGTTAGCCTAATTAAATGATATAAAATAGTAAATAAATTTTTCTATTAAAAATATAAACTAAAATAAATTTTTTGGTTTACTTTATTATTAAATATATTTTTATATTAATCTTATATAACTTCACATAAGTAATATAATAATACAAAAATTCAATGCATAATTGTAGAATAAAGTTCAAGCATATATATATATATATATATATATATATATATATATATATATATATGCGGGTATGGGGCTGGGTGGGTATTTAGATACCCATACCCATACCCACACCCATCCCCATTAAAATTTGCGGATTTTTACCCACACCCATACCCATACCCGTATAACGGGTAAATACCCTATCCATTGTGGATAAATTTTGTGGGTGCCCATCGGGTACTTTACTCATTGCCATCCCTAAAAGTGTCCATCTTATACACAATTTCTAGATATTATGCACATTTTTATACACGCATTATATGTCTGGGACCAAACAACAAAAGTGAAAGAACGTTGGCCTTCATGGACAATGATAAAATGTGTAGTTTTGATGAATGACTTTCTTGTTTGCTTTAAGAGAGTGATTGAGAGAATTTGGTGAAAATGTATAATTAATGGAAACAACTAAAATGATACAATTAAGCATAATTGTGCCTCATATAGAAGTGATTATCAGCTAACAATAATAAACTTTATAACTAACTCTAACTTCCTAAGTTATTCAATTAATACCTTAAACATTCAAATTCAATGTAAAACAACACCATTTTGCTTGGAAAAAGGTTTTTTATTTTATTTTATTTTATTTCCTTTATAAATTTGCGACTCATCTGACTTGTTGAAAATCCTTAGTTCATTAGTTTCTTAAAATTTTGGTTAAATATTACTAGTTTAACCTGATTTCATTACATTTCTAATTCATTGTGCTACTTACACCAGTGAATTGATCAATTTATCAGTCTAATCATCCAATTTATGTTAAATTATCAAGTAAAGAAAGAAATAAAAATAGAAGTATGATTCAATAATCTGAATTGAATTACAAGAGGCCATATTGGTATATATAGCACAAGACATTAGATAGCTACTAGATTGATAATTAGCTGTAATTTGCTAACATAACTGTCTAACTAATGAACTATTTGATTAGATCGTAGACTAGTGTGAGAAGATTATATATATGTATATATCTCAAAAGTCTCCAACTTGGGATCGAAAGAAGAACATTGTGGTAAAAGAAGGGCTTGGGTGAAAAGATCAAATACTGTTGACTTTTTAAAGTGAATAAGCTTAATAATGTTCGCTTGAACTAGTTCGCGTATAAAATGCCAGTTATTATTTATGTGCTTGGATCGTTTTGGGATGACCTGGATTCGATGCAAGATGAATGGATGATTGGTTATCGCAAAAAAATGATAACAGAAGAAACAGAAACTTTAAAACTTTTAGCTGCTTGGATTTCTAGGAAATTAATGCATCATTAAGAGATGCAAAAAATAGTAGGAGATCGCCTTGTATCTAAGCAATTGTCCTAATAGGCATCAAAATAAGTAAAAAGATTAAGAAAGTTGTTGGTAGGGAAGAACAATCCCTGGCTTGGAGCCTATTTGAGATACTCCAATAAATGGTGAACAAAATAGGGATGACTAGTATAAGAATTTTGCATATATCGACTTAGTTTGTGAATGACAAAACTAATGTCAGTTTTGAAAAGATTTAGATAAATAAGCCTGCGAACGAGTCTTTTATATATTAGGGGAACAGGTAGAGGATCACCTTCATAGGTTGATAATTTGAGATTGAGATCAATAGGTTATTGAGCTCGTTTAGAGGCCAGGTTACTTGTGCATTGTAGTAAATTTAATGTATATTTATTGATACAAACAAATGCCCTTAGTAAACCTCACAAATTTTGGTCCTAAGAAAAAATTGAAGTCATCAATTACCTTAAGTTTGAACAGTTGTTGGGCTTCAACAATTTTTAGCGGGTATAGTCTTGCTTATATAATGTGATCGACATATACTCTCAAGACAACAAGAGTAGTCCTAGAGCCAGATGTGAATAAAGAATAATCATTCTATGATTGATTGAATCCGTGAACAATTAAAGCGAAGAAAAATTGGAAAATCATTGATGAGAGACTTGCCTTATGCCATACAACTACTTATTCTGCATACAAGGCCTTTATTTTCAATTTTATAGTTATGTCGGAGTTCCATGTATACTTCTTAAAACAATTCACCATTAAGGATTGCTTTGTTAATATGCAATGGAATCAAGATCTAGTGTTTGATTGTAGTAACAGAAGACAATAATATATTCTAATACCATCCATCTTGTTGATTGTAGCCCATAGCTACTAGGCAAGCTTTAAGCAATTTGTTGTGCTATCCTGATTATATTTTAATTTGTAATTCTATTTGCAGCCTATAGAATGCTTTTCATAGGAAAGATGGACCAAGGTTCACGTATTATTGGCTTCTAAGGCATTAATTTCTTTATTCATGGCTTGGCACCATGCCAAGAATTGAACAATGTGATGAAATAATTGTAGATGGCAAGAACATGATACAGTACCAAACATGAGTAAGGATCATGAAGCAGAAGTGTCTTGGGGTGAAAGTTACAGTTTTTAAAATATAATATAAATTTATATTATATTTTATTTTTAAAAACAGAAATCAAACATACTATTAGTTACATGTTACTGAGTCTGTCAATTGGTTACATTATAAAATATGCTTACAGGAGGAGGGGCAGAGAGGAGAAAGGTAGGAATTGCTTTTTGAGTTGTTGTTGGTCAGACAATAGTAAGGCCTTGATTGATTTATCTTTGATTTTTAGTTTTTAAACATTACATTTTAAAACTATTTTAGGAAAATAAAAATAAAATTTGTTTAGTAATTTAGTTTTCAAAACTATTTTTAGTTAAATTTTTATTAGTTTTAGAAAAAAAAAACAGAAAAAAAAAAAACAAAAACACTTTAAATTGTAATTCTGTTTTTCAGTTGTAAAGAGCTAAAAATAAAAAAGTTATTGTTAAAAATAGTTTTAAAATTTACATTAACAAACAAGTTTTTTTTTTTTTAAAACAAAAAACTATATTTTAAAAGAAAAAACAAACCAACCCTAATTCTCAGTGGAGCCTTAGCGTTAGCTCTAGCTTTTCTCCCGGTAAGATCTCAGGCTCACCATCTTTGGTTTCATCAATAATATTGTCTCCTTTTATATCATTCTGTTCCTTTCAGGACATAATTGTTGAATTGGGTATGTAAGGTATTGATTGATTAGAAGTAGAGAAAAAGTAATCTTGAAGGTATGATAGTGGTATAGTGTTTCTAGTTGATCTTCGAAGTAATGGAGGAGAGAAGGTTGTGAGAGTTAATGTCTTGGTGAAGATTCGTGATGGGATGAAGAGTTGTAATTGAGAAATAAAGAATTGTTAGGCATAGGAGCAGGAATGGCAACTTCATGAAAGTGATATGGTTCAACAAAATCCATAGGTAAAGCGTTGGAAATACATTTTCATGAAGGTAAGATATTGCGAAATAAGGAATTTCTGTGGGTAAATTATATAGCGTGTACTTAATTTTTATACAACAACTTATACTCACAAGTGAGAGAGAGGAAGAGAGAAGTATGTAATGAAATGGGTGATGTGTGACAAATACAAATAAAAAAATATTATATAAAAATGTTGTAGAAAAATGAATAATATTTTAACTCTATACAGAAAACTATGATAAGATGTTCATTTCTATAAATTTTTCTAACTTTTGATCTCCCCCCTTGAAGAACCCGTATCAGATAGAAGTCCAGAAGTTTCATCTGTTGGGACACTCTGGCTCTGACTCTCAATTATGTGATTTTGTCCTCTGTGTTGGAAATATTGTTGCATCATCTCAAATTTCCTATCATCCATTACCTCTTTTGTGTCTGACACCACTTGAACAACGGTTCTACCTTCAAGCATGCTTACCACTGAAGACATGGTGGGCCTGAGAGTTGGAGAGACTTTGGTGCATAAAAGAGCTACATTGATCATCACCAATGCCTCATCTTTGTTGAAGTCTTCACCCAACCTCTTATCCACAAGCTCCATTAGGTTCCCTCTTTCTTTCAGCACATCCACCTAGTAGTAGTAATATAAAATGCAACCGTTATTTGATTCCAAATTCATTTCACAGTTGAAACAGAAAAAAAAAAAAACTTAAATTTAAGGTGCAGAATTTATAATAAAAATATAAAATATAGTATGGAAAAAAGTAGTTTGCAGATAAGTAGTTTATCACATTTGTAGGGTCAGCACCAGAATTTCTCAAAATGCAAGAAATTGATGGTGTATAATACTCAGGTTTATTCAAGTTAGACATTACAGCAGATTTGAGAGACTTTAATTGTAAAATGTATTTCCCTTCAATGGTGTCAAAAGATGAAATTGAATTAAATTTGTTGTATAGCTTTACGCAAAACATACACAACCATGCTAGATATTAGCAAAATAAGATTGGCATGAATGCATGAGTAAAATGACATAATTTACCCAATCAAGAAGAGAGAAGCACTCTTCCATAGGCTGGCTAATGGTGTTGCTCTTCCCACTAACAATTTCCAATACAACAATTCCAAAACTATAGACATCTGCTTTGTCCGTCAAATAACCAAGCATTGCATACTCCGGTGCCATGTACCCACTGCAGTATTGAAACATCATTAATTACAGTAACTGAAGAACATTTATTTTTTCATAAACCATGATAAGGTATTTTAGTATATTACCTATATTATTTTTTTGTCTTTAGTTTTCTATAGTTTGATAGTGTGTCCAAATGTAGCTCAATAAAGATCAATGCATAATGGTAAAACAACAAATATATGGGAACTCACTAAGTGCCAGCTATTCTAGTGCTCATGTGGGTTTTGTCCCCTTCATTAAGCTTGGCCAAACCAAAATCAGATATCTTTGGGTTGAGATCTTTATCCAGCAACACATTAGTGGCCTTGATGTCCCTATGAACAATCTTCAGTCTTGACTCTTCATGAAGGTAAGCCAAGCCTTTAGCAATACCAACACAAATCCTCTGCCTTGTTTTCCAATCCAATCTCAACGGAGAATTTTCAGGGTCATCACTTTTGACTTTGATGGAAATTAGACAACATATGAATATAAGTTACACATACAAGATTTCCATTATTAGAAAGCTGAAGAAAAACTTTAAAATGGAACAAAACAATTACCAAATAAAGCACGAGCAAGACTGTTGTTTTCCATGTATTCATATATCAGCAACAATTGATCCTCCTCCATACAACATCCAAAGAGCTTCACTAGAGAAGGGTGTTGCAAAGCAGAAATCAGGCCTATCTCATTTATAAATTCACGATTCCCTTGCCTTGATTTAGTAGAAAGTTGCTTAATTGCTACTATTGTGCCATCTGATAAAACACCCTAAATTTTGGGGAGTAGTATGTTAGTTTCTGAAAAGTTGGAAAAGAGCATTTCATAAACTAACACAGTTATAGTATCTCATTTATTATGATCAAACAAAAGTGGCGGGTTGTAATAGAATATACCTTGTAAACAGGACCAAACCCTCCTTCTCCAATCTTGAAGGATTTGTCAAAGTTATTTGTCGCTGCTTTGATTTGTCGCAGGGTGAATAAACTAGTTGGTGAATTGAAATCCTTTAACTCTGTCAATAGAGGCAAAAAATTTAATAGATATCCTATGTTAGGAAAACAAATGGCTTCACTGGATCCACCATCCCAGTACTGTTCCTTTAATCAAGGGAGTTAGCAAAATAATCAAGAAAAGTCCACTAATTTGATAGAAAAACATTAGAAACAATTCATGTCCCACAAATCTAAAATACACGTTTTGTGTGTACGTGTTTCTTATTGTTTCAAGCAACAATTGATAATCTGGGTAATAGAGTTAACTTCAAAGTGATTACCTCTGGCTGATCTTTTCAGATGTATAATACCCTTCCACCATAATATGCCAAATACAAAGATGATAACAATTGCTCCAACAACCACAATTGCAACCACAACCCCTACAGATATGCTTCTACCATTTTCTGATGGGGGTGTAAAGTCTGCATGATTATTGTGTAAGCTACGTTAGATTAGAAGATGAAGGTGATGGCAGAAAAAAAAACTAGAGAAGTACAACTCACCAGAATCAACAGATATTGCTGATATAAGAGGACCGTATACTGATCCAAATGGAATAGAAGTGGTTCCTTTCCCAGCCCAATATAATCGGATCTCCAAGGCATTATTAGTCACAACAGCTGTGAAATTTTTTATGACTGCCTTAGCAACACCCCCTGCTTCTTTTGCAATATTGAAATCCTTAACTACCAACTTCCTCTGCAAATTAAGAATCCACAAAATAACTCTTCAAATTATTAGTCTGGAAATGTTGTAAAATATTTATAGAACACAATTTTACATTATTATTTCATTATTAAGTGGTTACAACTTATGAGAAAATTTGGTTTAAATCAAAGATTTATATGAATCTGGTATCGTGAAGTCCCCAAAGAGACTAGTTTCCACTATGTTGAATATTTAACAAGTGGTTGAAAAACATAGGAAAATGACAAAATTATTCACCTGAATGTAGATATCAAATACACGCCTTCCAAGGCTGCTATATGTTTTATCATCAGTAAACATTATTTCAGCAAAGTGGAGATTCACTGTGTAGTTTCCATTTCCCAGGCAAAATCCATAATAAGTCAAAGAATTGGGAGAAACACGTGCGTTCATGTACAGTTCAGCATTGTCCACTGCAAGCTTAGTTGTATTAGACCATGTATAGTAATCTGAGTGACTGCTATCAAAGAAATGACCAGTGTTGATAAGTGCCCAGTTTGTTCCAGGGTAAATAAATCTTGCAGGTCCAGTCGCATTGGAGTCATCTTCATATGTCTGGTTTCCATCAGAAGTTACAACTTTTCCACCACAATTTATATGGAGAGAATACGAAGCTGGGACAAGTAGAAATTGGTTAGCAACTACCTAAAGAATTCATCACCATTATAAACCATATTAGGAAATTATACGTCAAGATTTTCCTTATACAGTTTTACATCCTCTTGTTTCTAACACTCCAAATTTATTCATCCCTATAGGATTGTTGAAGTCCCATATCAGCTGTAGATATGGCTAAATAAGAGCTTATAAAGGTTAAAACAATCCTCATCTTGCAAGCTAATTTTTGGAGTTAGGCTTAAGTCCAAATTCAACAGGAATGAAGGAAGATAGTGGTGCAGTGGTACTGAGTTTGACCATGGAGTTTAAGTTGATTATTGATAATAACACAATGACGGAGTTTATTATTGATAATAACACAATGAAGTAAGATACATGGTAAGTAGAGTTTTATTATCACTAAATACATATATGACATTGCTTTATGATGTGTATGAGCTTATTTTTTTTAGAGAAATCATGTAAATAGGTTAATCAAATCTTGTACTTAAAGTAATTAGGATACCTGTGAATCTTGCAATTACATTACCTTTATATAGTAAAACCTTTGTCATGTAATTCAAACACATGGATTTGATAATATGTCTCATATTCTTTTCATTTTAACAAGATATATAGAATGTGATAAGAGAAAACTGTAATCAGTGCAACCTTGGCATAGAGGTGGCACAATCCAAAGCTAGTATCACTATTTCACAAAGACAGTATGCCATTGACATCCTTAAGGAAACCATTCATATGGATTCAGAAAATAAACTCCTACCAAACCCTACAAGTTTTTGGTATAGAAGTATGGAATCTAATGTAAGGATAGTTATCCCTTTCTAGCTGTATCTCTAACTTGAAAAATATATAAATAATTTAAAAACCATCAACTTCAAATGTCAAAGCAATAATTAACAGCCTACAGTAAAATCCAAGATAAATCAACTTACTTTTAGGACACGGAATGTTTGACAAACATGAAACATTTCCTCTGAAAAAATAAGAAAAACATAAAAAGGTGGAACGGGATGGCGTAGGGGGACAAATCAGCACCCATTATGACTTGTATAAAACTTGTTAATATTTGGGGAAAATGTATAGCATTAAGAATATAAAACTTACAAGCTGTTTCCATTCAAAGATGAAGCAAACAAGTTCCTGAGGCATATGGAAAGTGGTCAAGGCTCAGGTAGCTTCTTAAACCTACAACATTAAAAAGTACAAAATTGCAAGGAATCTTACACGCTTCCCTGTTGACAAGTCTGCTGCTCTATGCCTCTGATGCTGAAGTTGTTATATGAGAGATCACTGTGTAAGGTTCACAGAATGTGTGATTTTGAAAGTGAAATGATACAAAATATTGAATTCATGCACATCATTGCTCAGAAGAATTCCAAAAATATTAATTGAAAAATATGGAATCTTTTTAGCTTGATTATCTAGTAATTAAATTTACAGTGAAACACCAATAAAGGAAAAGTTTGAAAATGTTTCCCCATTCTCTCTACTTATTAACTACTGAATTAAGCATACAGCGACATCCAATACCACCATATAGAAGTAAAAAGAAGTAATTCCAACCACAATCAATGGTCACAGCAAATGACTAACATATTCCAGAATGACCCTCTCCCAAGATACCAGCAGACTATACTAACACATATCTTTCACATCCCTTAGGTTCTCTTACTACAATAGCTAGCTTTTGTGGTGTGGTTCTCCCAAGGTTCTAATCAATTGGTATCAAAGTCTTCTACCATGTCTTAGGTGCAATAGAGCAATACGGGTGGTGATGCTAACATAGCAGTGTTTGCTTGCGACTAGTCAAAAGGGCTAGGGTACAGCCAGCCCTTGTGAGTGTTGGGACTACAAAACCTGGTGGCATGTTAGAGTCTAATTACAAGGTATGAGACTTGAACCCACATTTGAAATATGGGACTCTATTGTGGGGTTTATAAGACCTTGCACTCTATAACTACAAAGGCTAGCTTTTGAGGTGTGTTTTTCTCAAGGTTCTTATCTTGATAATACTGTTGAGAATAATTTTAATCAATTGGTATCAAATTCTACCATGTCTCAACTGCAATGAAGCGATATAAGCGATGATGCCAACATGGCAGTGTTTTCCCGGGACTAGTCAAAAGGCTAGTGTATTTGTGAGTGTCGGGACTTCGAAGCATGGTAGGATTTTAGAATCTAATTATAATGTATGGGACATGAGTCCTACATTGAGAGTAGGGAACCTACTGTGGTTTATTTCTCCCCCTTTGTCATTATAAATAAAGCTTTCCACTATGTATCAAACACACGATTTCACTCCATGTCTCCCATCTCTTCTTTCTCAACATGGTATCTAGACCTTAACGAGAGACAAACCTAGTTGGTGTTTTTATCCAATGACACACTAGGGAAAATCATTTTTCACAACCATATTTCTTCTTCTGTTTCCAAACTCTCTTTCTTTCCACTTTTAATTCCTTTTTATTCTGCTACTCATGCCACTGTTCCAGCACAAGTGACGATCGGAAAAACCCTAATAGCCTGTTAGAAAGTTTTCTCTTTCCTAACCTTCTTGAGATCCTCACTCAAGAACACTCACAACCCTTCAATAATGCTCACACCGAAAGAACTATTGAAAGAGAATGCTAAACTAAACTGAGAATTCCTTTCTTTTAATAACAGGGAATTATAAGAGTATTTATAGCCTTTTAAGGCTTGTACAATCAATTACCGATTTTATAGGTTAACAAACTACTAAAACTATTATTATTTACAACTGTAATTTCCTTATTTACTTATTACAGTTCCCCCCCTTAAAAACAAACCTTGCCCTCAAGGTCTTTCTAATGCAGCTCTTTCCAATTCATTCGCCCAATCCACATGCGGGTATAACTGCTTAACAGTGTGATATTCATGCCAAGTAGCCTCCTCCGGACTTGTTTGATCCCACTGTACTAATATTTCAGTGATAGCTTTATTATCTTTCCTCTGTACCCTGCGATCCAATATGGCAGTAGGCTTTAGCACCATACTTCCTTCATCATCAAAAGTTGGAAGGTGAACCTCTGCTGGAGTTGAGCCGTGATGTTGTTTAAGCAAAGAAACATGGAACACTTTGTGGATTTTGCATGTCTCTGGTAACCTGAGTCTGTAAGCTACCTCTCCAACCCTCTCTACTATTTCAAATGGTCCATAATATTTAGCTGCTAGTTTGTGGAATGCAGAATTAGGTAGAGTGTTGTTTATATGGTTGTAATTTTAAATAAACCATATCTCCACACTGATATACCTTTTCCTTCCTTTTTCTGTCTGCATACAACCTCATTCTTTCTTGAGTCTTCGCTAACTTGTGTTGCAGTAGCTGAGCTACTCCTCCCTTGATTTCAATATATGAGAAACTGATTGAACCATGGATTCTCTTACTAATAATGGGTTCCTCAATGTTGGAGAGTACCCATATAGTGCCTCAAATGGAGTCATCTGTGTAGCTGAATGAAATTTGGTATTATACCAAAATTCTGCCATGCCCAAGTACTCCTGCCACTTCTTTGGTGTGTCCCCAGCCATACACCTTAAGTATCCCTCCAATGCCTTGTTTAAAGCCTCTGATTGGCTATCTGTTTGTGGATGAAATGCAGTAGATTTCAGCAATTTCACACCATTTCTCTGAAATAGTTCCTACCAAAATTTGCTCATAAAAATTGGATCTCTATTCTAGATAATCTCTTCAGGCCATCCATGATGTTTTACCACAGTCTCCATGAAGCTATGTGCCACTTTAGCTGCATTAATAGGATGACTAAATGGTAGAAAATGAGCATATTTTGTTAGTCTGTCTATGACAACTAAAATAACACTATATCCATGTGATTTGGATAGTCCCACAATGAAGTCCATGGCCAAGGATTGCCATGCTTGGCTAGGCACAGGTAGAGGTTGTAACAATCTTGCTGGAAGGGTTAATTGAGCTTTATTTCTTTGACAAACTTCACATTCCTTGACCCATCTTTTGACTGCCGCTTGCAACCCTTTCCAATAGAATATTTCTCATATTTTATATGTTTGTGAACTACCGGAATGTCCTCCCAAGACAGAATTGTGATAGTAGTGCAGCAACTTCTTCCTTAAGTCTGCATCATTTCCTACTACAATTTTACGCTTCCTCTTTAGTGTTACCCTATCCCATTCATACTTCTTATAGTTCTGTTGAGTCAATATGATTATCTATGATTTTTCTCAGCTTTGGATCAGTTTCCCAAGTTGCTTGTACCTCCTTGGATAGATTAGAACCAACCTGAAAAATTGCTTTTAAGGTTCTGTCAATTGCTCTTCTGGACAAGGCATCTGCTACCTTGTTTTCTTTCCCTTTTTTATAAGCAATGGTGAAGTCGAGACCCATGAGTTTCTCCAGCCCCCAGTTTTGCATCAAGGTGGTAGGTGGTTGTTCTAACAAATGTTTTAAGATTTGTTGATCTGTTTTAATTGTGAAATGCTTCCCTAATAAATAATGTTGCCACTTTTTGACTGCAAACAAAATTGCATAGAATTCTTTTCCATAAGCTGAAAGTAGTTAATACTGCTTCCCCATTGCTTTACTGATGTATGCCACTGGATGTCCTTCTTGAAGTAACACTGCCCCAATGCCAATCCCAGATGCATCTGTCTTTATAGTGAATTCTTGTTCAAAATTTGGCAACCTAAGTACTGGTGTTATTGTCAGAGCCCTTTTTAAATGCTGAAAAGCCAGATCTGCCTCTGTTGTCCACTCAAACTCTCTGCCTTTTTGCAGCAACACTGTTAATGGCTTAGCAATGACACCATAATTCCTTATGAACCTTCTGTAGTACCCAGAAAGTCCCAAAAATCCCCTCAGCTCCTTGACTGTCTTAGGTGTTGGCCATTGTGAAACAGCTTCTATTTTTTATGAATCTGGTTCCACTCCTATTGCAGATATCACATGCCCCAAATACACTACCTTCCTCTGGCCGAAGCTACATTTTTTTCTGTTCAAGACTAGGGAATTGGGTTCCAGGATCTTCAATGTAGTTTCTAAATGCTGCATGTGTTCCTTCCAAGACTAGGTATATACTAATATATCATCAAAAAATACAAGAATGAATTTTCTCAATTGTGGCCTAAAAATGTCATTCATTAAATTTGAAAGGTTGCTAGCATATTAGTTAAACCAAATGGAAGTACTACCCATTCATAGTGTCCACTATGGGTTCTTAAAGCTGTTTTTGGTATATCATTCTAGACCATTCTAATTTGATTATATCCACTTTTAAGGTCAAGCTTTGAAAAATAAGTAGCAACATGTAATTCATCTAATAAATCCTCTATTAAAAGAATAGGAAACCGGATTTTAATTGTTGCAGCATTCAATTTCCTGTAGTCAGTGCATAGCCTCCAGCCGCTATCCTTCTTCTTGATTAAGACCACACGAGAAGCAAATGAACTGTGGCTTTCTCTGATAAAACCCGTGGCTAACATCTCTAAAATTTGTCTTCTGCAAGTGAGGGTATCTATATGGTTTGGAAGTGACAGGTTGGTTATTGCTTAAAGTAATTTGGTGATCATATTTCCTTTTTGGTGGTCAAGTAGTAGGCCCTTTGAATACATGATTGTAGTTGTTGAGAAGTGATTCTAGCTGCTCCTTCTGCCAAGTTTCTAATTTCTTGTCATGGGTGACCTTACTTGGGTTGTGAAGAGTGGATATTGCCATTAACAAGGCTCCACATGATGCTGCTTTCAATTTTCCTCTTGCTTTTGATATATGTATCTTAGCTTGTTCACCTTCCAAAATTACATTTTTGTTGTTATGTTCAAATTGCATGGTCAACTGGGCACAATTCCATCGAATTTCCCCCAAGGTTGTGAACCATTGCATGCCCAATATAACACCATAAGAAGATCCTAGTAGCACAAAAAAATCAACATTAAATTCATGGCTTCTAAATTTTGAATGACGGTTCTCACATTTTCTAGTAATTGCTATATTCTGTTCACTGGCTACTACCACAGGAAATTCCTTTATGTGTTCCGTTTTAAATCCCAAAATTTTCACCCACTTTTCACTCATAAAATTGTAAGTGCTGCCTGTGTCCATTAAAAATGGCACCTCTTGCCTCTTAATGATTCCATGCAGTTGTAATGTTTGCCCACCTACAATCCCTTTTAATGCATGAAGGGAAATATGAACATCCTCATCTTCAAGAATCTTTTCTCCTATTGACAATAACTCATCAATATCTTCCTGTGGAATTTCTTCTCCACTGTGATCCGGTTCTGAGCTGCAAAGATTGCTG